AGAAGTAAAAATGAGAAAATACAAAAATATCTATCTAGAAGAGAAAAACTAAACTAAGATCAATACCAACCTTGCACTATGCTAGACTAAAATAAAGAATAAAAACAAAAGAAATTAAACTAAATCAACTGTCTAACAAGAGGCGTGGTTACTTCCTGACCAAAAATTTGACTAATGAGAACTAACATTAACTGAATTGACGAAAGAAAGTAGAGAAGCAGGGAGTATGATATGAGATGATGATGGGAAACCAGAGGTAACCCAAATGTGGGGATCAGATTTATAATCTTTGTTAATATGACGAGATAATTTCCATTTTTCAAACGAATTACACCTTTGAATCCAAATAGTCCAAATAGTGTTAAAAAGGTCATAATATAGTGAGGAGAGTAAAGCTTTGGTGAGGCCAATATCAGATATGATATTGTTGAGTAGTGATACCAATGTGCCAGGTACCAAACCTTTTAAAATGTCGATAAAGTCTAGATCATGTGTATTTGGAATGTGAGACCATATTGATAATTGACTGATCTGATAAACAATATTATCGTGCGATGCGTCAGTATTTTTTAAATGGCTAAATTTAAGAAGCAAAGAGTGTCTCGTATCTATAGCTAATTGTGACAATGAAATATTATTATTTATACATTGCCATACGTGAAGAAAGGTATTAACAGATATAGAACAATTAGGATATAAAAGGGAGGTGAAAACTGTTGGATATCTAAGGTGTAGGATATTGAGTGTGGGGAGCATCTCGAGGAGTATACGATATTTGTTTTTCTTTAGTGTACTATGTTTGAAAGAAGTAGTTGTGGAGGAGCTATTGTCATTCAAGATAAAGGTTGTCATAATCCAATCAATGTCAAGATTGACGTATTTGTTAAATTGTGGTAGATTGAGGAAAGCTTCATCCCAGGCAGCTTGCCTTAGTTGTTTAATGAAGTATCTGGGTGGTAAAAGGATCATTAAATAGTTGTGTAGAAGATTATATCTTGGATCCATTACATTGTCATTGTAAGACAAGGGAGCAGCATTCTCTTTAGCGAATGCATTCACTTGATTATTATATAAATCATCACTGTGAGCTTCTACCTTTACAAATGAGATGCTCAGATTATTGTTTGTGATCTATTTTGTCATTAAAAACCATATAGGAAAGTGTTGAATTTTTAGTTGAGGTTTATCGAGGTAGTAAGATTAGTTGTGTGAATATATTTTGGAAAGTTGAGATGACATTCTGAGAGTCAATGCAGATTGTGACTCTTGCATTAGCAGGAGCGACAAAAATAGCTGCAAACACTACAGTTAATTCTGCTAGAGTGAAAGAAGGGGAATGTGAAATTAAAGAGGCGTTAAAAGAGATCATTGGTCAATTCAGGTCAGTTTGTAACTATGCAATACCCATACGGCATGACGGGAGGCCTAAATTTGTAAGTGAACTATCTGTGTAAAATTGTAAGTTAGTGGCATTAATTAATAAATCTTTTTTTGTTTGTAAAACAGCTAAACTATTTGAATCAAAGGGAGCAGAATTATAAACAGGTTGTCGTAATGAGTCAGAAAAAGAAAATAGAAGTGTGTTAATTGCTATATCTTTTATCATAAAGGATGAATGACTAGTATAAAGCCCTAAAGGTTTTTTATGATTAGCGAAAATATGGCTACAAAATTCTTTAGGGAGTTGAAATAGTAATATTTGTATGACTGTTGTTTAATAAAAGCAAGGTCTATACTGTTATCATGTAACTGGCATTATCACAAGCCGTTAACGGTGTTAGAGAATGCTGCGTTATACCAGAAACATGATGTTGGAGGATGTAGGAGTTATCATTATGTCTAACTATCTTCTCTATGAGTGAACTTTGTATAGTGTTGTACTATATAGTGACAAATGGAAACTGCGGATTCGAAATATGATTAGCGTTAAACTGAATAAAAGCTAGAAAATGATGCATAATCGGGACAACGATGCAACGATTTTCAGAATTTGTAATTAAATAATCTTCTAAAATTTTAAACCATTTGGGAAACAACCCAGTTACCAGTTGTTTATAGATATTAAGATTATTGAAAGTGTAGAAGTAGTTCCCACAACTTGATATTAGTTGTTCAGCGAACATTAGTCCTCTAATTCTGAAGTTGTCTTTAATAGTCCTATATAATTGTTTAGGAAGAAAATCAATAAGTTTAGTAGGGTAATTATTGAAGTCGGTAATAAAACTCTGTAATGCGACTGTTTTGGAGAATCTAATTTTTAATTTGCTGAATAGTGAAAGGGTTGTAGACCACCAATCAAATTTGGTAGTCAAAAAGTTATAAGGCCAACTATTGAAAGGACACGAAGGTAGCCATTCTGAAATTTGTAGTTGTTTTGCTCTAACGAAAGTGGATCTTCCCAAAAGACCATTATCATTTATGATGTGAAGAAGTGCGTTTGGTTTAGCCAAGAGTTGTTGATCGTAAAGGTGGTTTAATTTATAGCCAAATATGGAATGTATTATGGGGGTGAGTGTGGATTTAGACAAATGTAACATTTTTTTAAAAGCATTTCTTATGGCGTACATTATTTAGTTACAGAACGACTCTGTAAGAAAGGTTGTTTGAGATCAATACATTAATCTGGGCATGATAACGTTATTAAAGACAGCAATGAATTGTTTGTCCGTAAGTTTTTTATTTCGAAGGATTAAATTGTTGCTCCTGATTTCTGTCCTGATTTGGTTGAGAATGAATTTGGTATTAGGTTTTAAAGAGATCCATATACTGAGGTATCTAGAAGATTCTTTTGGTTGTTTGGGATCCAACCATAATTTATCGTTGGTAAGGTTGAATTTAATTTTAGAAGTGTCGGCTATTGAAGTTAATAGGACCGATTTGTCCCAATTTAATTGAATGCTATTTAGTTGGTAAAATGAGTTTGCAGAATCGATTATGTGTTCTAGGTCTATTCTTGAATTGGCAATCCATAGAGTATCATCTATGTAAGCTAAAGTAGGGATATGTTCATTGATTACTACTGGCGAGTCTTTAGTTGGATCGGTATTCTATACGACTTGTTGACGGTAACCATATGAGAATTGTTGGATGTAGCAAAGGAGAGGATCGTAATAAATACACCAGAGAATGGGTGATATGATTTCACTTTGGTCGATTCCTGACAGGACATGGTATTCATCTGTATTACCATGAGCTGTAAAAATTTGATTGGAACTTGACAAGAAACAATGTGAAACTACTGAAAAGAAAGATAGTGGAAGGTGAATACGCTTGAAAGCTTCTTGTAATATGTGTAAGACGACGCGATCATAGGCTTTTGACATGTCCTGAAAAAGGACTCACAGTTCATTTTTGTTGTAATTAGCATCATTTATAACATTATTTAAAATATGTATTGGTTCAAAAGTACTCTGATACGGAAGGCCAGCGAAATTGTTACCTTTGAGGACATTATAAGCAGAGAGAATACTTAATAGTCTATGATTGATGAGTTTCATAAATACTTTCCTAGGGCTTTCCAAGAGTGTAATTGGTCTTGTATTGTTCAAATTATATTCTCATGGTTTCGATTTGGGAATAGGATAAACAAAGGCAGAATTCCAACGATTTGGAATATCGTGAAGGATTAGACATCTGCATATAATTTTTCAGAGGATCTTTTTTGACAAGGGTCCTAAATGTTTAAGCATCTCGTTTGTAATTTTTAAAGGTTCTGGTGCTTTGCCAATGTTAAGTGAATTGAGCGTATCTTCCCATTCTTATTCAGAAGGTAGTGACATCAGATGATCGTATATGTGGGAGTCAATAATTGGGATGGGTAGATACGAGTTTTTCCATTCTTCAGGAATAAGAGCAAGGTAATGCACAGAGCCAGTGACTTTTTGAAAGTGTCTATTGGTTTCATTTCTAACATCAATAGGATAGGTGAGCAAACCTCTATTCAGACTAGAGTTGTCCATGCATCGATCTAAGTGGATTGTTGATCTTTGTCTATTTAGGAGTGAATCATACATTGATTTTTGGTTTTCTTTGAAGTTATCACATCTTTTGTTGATTGCCTCAGTGATCGATTTTGATTTATATTCTGCTTCATATAATTTAGCTTTAGTTAGTATAATTTTGATAAAGTCTTTTATTGAAGTTTTAGAGGTCTTAATAGTTAAAAGAGTGGGATCGGGATTGATCTCGAAAATAGCACTATCAGCACTTGCGAAAGATGATACGATATTGTGATATTTGGTCCATGTGTTGTCAAACTGATGTGTTTTAAGACACTTTTTCGTTATAATATATATTTTCTAAAGGTCTTTTTGGTGTGAGGAAGATAATTTGTGCAGAATGGTTTTCATTGCTGCGTCTATGATGCTTTTCTGCAAGTTATTCCAAGCAAAATTAAGTTTGGGTTTGGTATTAAAGTTGAGAAATTCTGTATGAGCTAAAGAGGATTTTTTGACGAGCTTATCATTTTTGAGACTAAATCAAGACCATTGATTATTGTTCATAAGATCGAAATTAAAGGTCAATTTTTTGATTGCAGTTGTAAGGTTAAAGAATGCTGCAAAAGTTTTTGAATGAAGTTCGGTGTAAACAAGATTGTGGTCAGTGTGTTATGTACTGATGGGTAAAACTGAATAGTAGATAAAATCAGCAATGAGATCAGATGAAATGAAAATATGATCGATTGTAGAAGTTGATTGATTTCTGTTATAAGAATGTAAGCTACTTTTAATTTCATCCAGAGAAAATAGGGAGAAAGTGTTCATTAAGTTAAGTCTTTCAAGACTGTTAAAAAATATATTTGCGTATTTGATATTACGTTGTCTGGAAAGGTCTGCATTCAGGTCCTCCATTAAAATTACTGACATGTTATTTTAGTGTGCATCAAGAATCGATTTTATAATCAAATCGTATACTTATTTCCGTAAAAGATCGTTCGATGCAGGTGTATATAATTTAATGATATGTAGACGATCTTTGTTTTGAAATTGAAAGTTGATTACTTGGTATCTTCCTTTACTAGATACGTGTTTATATATATGATCTGCAAGTGACTTTTTTATAATCATACCAGTTCTAAAGCCGCATTTTTGTCCATCGTGTTGGGTGCTAAAAATTAAAGTGTGTGTTTGTGAGAGTGTACGTGAGAGTGTTTTTGAAATGCTGGTGTTGAAAAATTTGTTTCTTGAAGAGCGACAATATCAAAATCGTGTAATTGGAAGAGGTTGAAGAAGTATTGTTGTTTGCTTTTGTCAGTAAATGACCTGACGTTTAATGTTCCTAAACAGATGTTCTTCATTAATAATATTTGTGTCTTGGTGGAATTACAGTATCTTCTTCATTTCTAAAGACAGTATCGGGGCCATTAAGAATGGGAAGTGGGGTTTTCTTTTGAGGATCGAGGTTGAATGAACGATAGACAAGGTTTTGTAACTCGGCTACAGTTTTGAGGGCATTATTTAAT